GGGCCCGGCGGGTGGGAGTGGAGGGGGCAAGCAGACACCACCGGAGCGGCTAGGCGCGCGGGACGCCGTCACAGTGCATGGCGCCGCTCGGGCCGCCGGCCGGCCGGCCGGCCGGACGTGTCGTGTATGTTTGTGGATTGTAGCGCGGGTGGAGGCCTGACTTAGGAGAAGTAACGTCTGAAACTCAGGTCCCCGGAAGGCTTGACCTGGGAAGGGGGCTTCATGGCCTCTATAGAGAATAATGTTCCGGAGTGCTGGGCTCGGGTTGGGGACCACGTGGGTCTTCCTTCCCCTTCTTGGCACAACTTCACAGGAAGGAGATGGTCAGGGCCTGCAAAATCCTAGTCTGGAGACCTAGGTGATGAGTTGGTCTCGTGTTGGGGTTCTCTGCCTCTAGCATCGACTGGTGTGGGAATGGGGTTTGTGGGAGACCAGAGCCCTTGAAGAATGTGGTTGAATCATATCCATCCAGCACCATTGGGAGGAACATAAACCTTTGATGAAAGGCCTTCTGGAGGTGAGCCCTTTTACAAATGAGAAATGAGAGGCGAGGGAAGGTTGGTGATTCACCTCAGGTCGCCTACAGAGTGGGTAATGCCTGATGAACTCGGCCCATTTTCAACACCGGACCTTCTAGCTGTCTGGAGTTTCAGGAATTCTCCCCTCATTGGCGGGGTATGACCTGTGGAACCCAAGGGACTGATGAAACCAGAGGTTTCTTTCCCCTACCCACCTACTCAGCCCGGTAGCTGGGGAGTCCTGGCTAAGTCCCTGGCTGGGCAGGAGTGACGTGGAGACCTAGTTTTCCATGTGGGTGACTGTGACACCAGGGCCATGGTGCTGAGTGTTAAAGACAGGACTCAAACACTAAAGGTTCCTTAGCATGGTGGAGGCTTCGTAGGTGTGACTGAGCACTTCCACTCAGAGCCACTTGATAGAGATGGAAGAAGGAGATAGTCCCCTCTCACCCCCCATGATACACCTTTGCTGCTCCCTTTCTTTCTGTTTCAAGGCCTGGTCAATACTGAGGCTTAATAAGGTCTGACCACATTACAGAAAATCATGTTTGTGTCTGTGTGTCCGTGTCGTCTGTTTTAATATTCAAAGTACAGTGCTCAGAAGGAGCCCTGGTGGCGCAGTAGGCGCTTTACTGCTAACGAAAAGGTCGGCAGTTTGATCCCTCCAGTTGCACCGTAGAGATAGATGTGGCGATTTGCTTCTGTAAAGATTACAGCGTTGGAGGCCCTATGGGGCAGTTCTACTCTATGCAGTAGGGGTCACTGTGAGTCGGAATCGACTCGATGGCAATAGGTATGGTGCCCAGAGGTCAAACCTGCATTCTCTGTTACCTGCAGTACCTTCACATATTTCTTTTTTGAAAGTCTGTCTCCTGAAATATGGATGTGCTATGTCAGGCAGTTGCATTTTGGATTTAGTGCCTTGTGCACCTGGATGACTGGGGGGTCTGATTTTTGGCTTTATATTAGAGGCTGATCTTTGGCTTTACATTTTCTGTATCCCTGTCTAGGGCCATGTCTTATGTGGGAAGATCAGCTGTTAGTCGGTACTTCGGAGGAGATACAGGTTCATTCTCCCATTGAAGTTGTCTGTTCTGTTGATATATGGACAAGAAAGAGGAAGCTGGTCATTAAAAACAGCTGTCTTCAATGAAGCCCTTTATCCCTTTGGATGTATTTCTATGCTGCTTCCTCTGAGATTCTGTAGCAGCACTTTTTTCAAAAATAAACTTTTTTTAAAAATTATAGTTTCTTTGCTGAGAGGAGCTAATGGACTTTGGCAAATTTTACTGACGTGGCTTGGTAGGAGGACAAGAAAAAACATTCCTAATCTCTGATGCATCAGAGAAGTGCTAAGTACTTGATAACTTGTTTTGTGTCTGATCCATAGTTTTTATTGCAAATGTGTGACTGCTTAAGTGTCTTCTCAGAGGTGTTTGGTGGCTGTGATTTTTTCCTTAACTTCACAGGAAAATATTCCGTCAATCAAGTATCGAAAATGTTTTCTTTATTTTTAGTAGTGCTATTCCTAGCTTAGTCATCTATTGCTTTAGTTTTGAAGAGTCTCCTCTGGAGATTTTAAGAGTTGACATGCAGACGAGCTATCTGTTTGAAGCCTAAGCCTGGGAGCAAAATATCCTCATCCAAGGAGTTCATTGTTGAGTCTCCGAGATGGATGGATGGACGGAAGGAAGATGGATGGGGGGAAGGAGGAAGGAAGGAAATAAAGAAATAAAAACCCTGCTAGGCAGTAAAGAAAAAATGAGCTCCCTAAACGTCTTGGAACATGGATGAACCTGGAGGACATTATGTTGAGCAAAGTAAGTCAACCACAAAAAAACAAATACTGTATGTTCTCCTATAAACTGACATAAACAGGTAAATAACACAGAAACTAATGTTCATTAGTGGTTACTAGGGATGGGGAGAGGGGGATTCATTCTAGATAGTAGACACTTGTTATTTTTTGTGATGGGAAGAGTAACACCGAATGAAGGTGAAGTGTACACAGCTTGACAAAGGTAAACAATTTCACTAAAAAGTACACAAGAAAAAAGAACCTGTTGGTAATTGCTATGGTATATATAATTTTGGAATAATGCAACAACAACCAAAAAATAAGTAATACCTGTGAAAGCTGGAACCTGTGTAAGGCGGAAGGCTGTCAGAACAGGAAAACTCAAATATTTGCCACGGAAACGAGTGAGAAAGGTGGTAAGACTGCCCCGTTAAAGGTGGATAACTTGCCAGACCTGGAAAAACAAGGTAGTCCCATCGAGTTCTGGCTCTCACAGGTTATGTAGGCATATATGTATGTAGGTATGTACATGTAAGTATGTGTGTGTGTATATATAGTTGTATGTATATGTATATATGTGCCTATATGCACATATATTCATATATATAATAAAGCATATAGGAGGCACAGTTACACATACTTCTTAGACATAACCAAACACCTCACGAGATTGACTTTCTGGGTTTGAAGGATTAGCACTATAGTCTTGTGGGACATCTTGGTCATTTGGCATAATATAGTTCATAAAGTTATGTTCTAAATCTTAGTTTGGTAGGTAGTGTTTGGGGTCTTAAACGCTTGTGAGCGGCCATCTAAGATACAACTATTGGCCTCTACTCATCCAGAGCAAAAGAGAAGGAAACAAAAAGACTCAAAGAAGAAACTAGTCTTCAGGACAAATAGTCTACACAAACCATGGCTTCATCTACCTTGAGACCAAAATAACTATATGGTACCCGGCTACCACTACTGACCATTCTAATCAGGGCCACAATAGGTGGATCCTGATAGAACGGAGGAAAATGTGGACTAGATGCTCAAATTCCTAAATTTAAAAAAAAAAGAAAAACAGACCTACTGGACTGGTTTAGACTGGAGAACTCCCCAAGACTATTGCCCTGAGATACTCTTTAAACCTCGAACTGAAACTAACCCCTGAGGTCACCTAATAGCTGAATAGCAGATTAACTCAGAATAATGAATATCACCTGTAAGTGCTGTGCTCTTTTAAAAAATCAGCTATATGAGACCAAATGGTCGACAATTAGTTTAAGACAAAGATGAGAACATAAGGGGGCAGGGAAACTAAATCAACGGAAACAAAACAACCAGAACGGAGATAATGAGAATATTCACGCATTGTGAAGAATGTAACCAGTGTCGCTGAACAGCTTGTATAGAAATTATTGAAAGGGAACCTAAATTGCTGTGTAACGCTTCACTGAAAACACAATAAAATATTATTAAAACAAAACAAAAAATCCTGCTGGGCCCTGGAGGATTTTGTGCTCATCCATTGGCTTTGCCACTCAACTCCATGTTTACTGAAATCACAGCATGCTTGAACCAGTGGCCGCAAGTTTACTTTTTCGTGTTTCTTGATTTTATAGCATCAAATAATTGAACAATTTCAGGACCAGAAGGAACCATAGAGATCAGTTAGTGTGAGTCACCCATGTTTCTGGAATCCCCGAGTGGTGTAAACGGTTAAGCACTCAACTGCTAGCCAAAAGGTTGGCTTGAACCTCAGAAGACAGGCATCGCAATCTGCTTCTGAAAGGTCACAGCCTTGAAAACCCTATGGAGCAGTTCTATTCTGCATACATGGGGTTGCCATGAGTTGGAGCCGACTTGATCGCGACTACCGCCACCACCACCACCCACGTTTCAGATGCAACGGCCAGAGCATCAG